TGATACAGATCGATGAGCATCTGATGATCTGATGTGAATGCATATTATGATATTTACTGGGAATGAATTGTTCTATTCTTATACTTCATGAAACGCTTATGCACAGTTGCACACAGCACAGTATACAAACATCCTAGACTGTGAATTCTGGGACTTAAATATTTGAGTCCTTGTTGTCTCATGCCTTTATAAAACTTTTTTTTTTAAAAGCCTTGCAGTTCTCGTTTGAAAATAAGACTACAAAAGTCATTGACTGACAGCTATAGACTGTCAGTGAGATTTACTTTTGGTAGGCTAGGGCTGCAACGATATGTATCATATCATGATACTTTTTTGTGTGTCGTGTCAAAATATTTTGTTTGCCTGTATCGCGATACACTAACAGTACTGAAATTATCAATAAGTTTTTATCAGACTCTAAAAAGTGTACCTACAGTATGGTTTTTTAATCCTTCAGTAAAGACATGGCCCCACTAGTACTGTGCAGTTATATTTATACCCAAAAGTACTAGAAATTATAGAGAAATATATATTTCGATAGTATTTACTTCTGAAGTCTTTGACTAAACCTGATAAAATACTGCAGTCAATCGTTACGAAGCTGATATTTCAAGCAGATGTTTGTATGGTGATACGTATGGTAGCATATCATAAGCATCATACCGTGATACATACTGTATCCTGATGTATATGTATGGTTGCAGCCTTAACTTTTGGACTGTACCACTGACATCACATACACTGTAGGTGATCATGATTTGCCAAGGGGTTTAAATCCTTATCACCTGATCAGCGGCGTCCATTACCCGCGCAGGGTTTCAGGATCAAATCACTGGCTGTCACCTGTGTACTGTATTTGTTCTAACAAGACACTGTAAATGAACAATTATACACCTACATTATTGTATTTACATAGACTGAATGATCTCTACAGTAATAACCTGAATGTTTTGTTTGAAGGTATGGTTGCAGGAAATCAATCGACTGGTCATAAAAATCGACCTGCCAAACTACTTCTGTCTCCCGAGGATCTGCAAGATACAGAAGACTTGGGTATGATAAAAAAAAGTTTTTAAATTAAAAAAAAAAGTCTACTGAAAACATGAAATAATAAGCATACATACATGTACATTTCAACATTTCTCTTCAAGTTTGAAGTAATATTTAATATGTTTCTGATACATGTGTACATTTAGATTGATCTAGATAAATAAATCAGAATTGCAAATGTTGTGGAAAATTGTTATAATTAGCATTATTGAGGAAAATCCACCACTGAATTCTTTTTATAGACAATGGAGATGTTTGAAATAAAAACATACAATTGCATTGGCCCATTTGAATCGAGTAGCCTGCTACATACATACATCGTATATATACATACCAATGAAGTGAAGCCCCCCACCCCCTAGTTGGTTGGTCTATGGGAGCCTGCAGTTGAGCATGAAATCAAACAGGACTTGTGTTGCCTCTCCTGGTTAAACGTCACTGTACAAGTGATATTTTGTAATGTGTCTCTGAGTTACAAATCGTGATGCACCACATGACTAGTTCTGCTACAGTCGGAAATTATTTATATGGTACATGTACAGTAGTATAATAAGAAAAACAATCGCTTCCCTATATGGTAAGATTTATAAATGTACAGCCCTCCACAATCCTCCTTACTAGACTTTTAGCAGCTTAATTAAGATGATTTTTAGCTCACCTGGTCTGAAGGACCATGGTGAGCTTATGCCATAACGCAGTGTCCGTCGTCCGTCCGTCAACTTTTCCTTTAAAACGCTACTAATCATGAACGACTGAGCAGATTTTGACCAAATTTGGTCAGAAGCATCCTTGTGGGAAGGGGAACCAATTTTGTATAAATGATGGGTGTGGCCCCCCTAGGGGCTGAGGGGCGGTGCCCAATAGGGGAAATATAGCAAATTCTTTAAAATCCTTCTTATTCTGTAGGAATGAAAGGATTTGTTCCATATTTGGTCTAAAGCATCCTTGGGTAAAAGGGGAACAATTTTGTATGAACCGTGGGTCTGGCCCCCAAGGGGCCTGAGGGGCGGGGCCAAATAGGGGAAACATAGCAAATTCTTTAAAATCCTTCTTATTCTGTAGGAATAAAAGG